TCTTTTACATTTACGAATTTTATCGTCAGATCTGATTGGAAATTAAACATTTATGTATTGTTAAATAATCATTTGTCTATAGTTTATCTATTTATTTGTAATAATACATTGTACATTTGTACTTTATATATATATATTTCGTTATTATTATATTATCAAATTACTTAATATTCGAATCACTATTACATATTTTGTATTGTATTCTGTATTTAGGGACATGTTTTAAAACGATTTCGGCGTTTTAAAACATGTGTTAAAAAATGTTTTAAAACACTTCGATATTATAAGCTTAATGCTTTAAATCTTAAATATAATAAAACGAAAACTGTTTTAGAACATGTTGTTTTAAATTACGTGCCATACCTTTCTGTATTTTATCGTTTGTGTATTCTAAAAATTAAAAAAATAAAATCACATCTTTAAATTCATTATTTAAAATGTTCTAAATTCTAATAATTTTGGCAAGTTTGAGGTTGAAAAAAAATCTTTTTGATGCAAATACACAATATTTATTAGGACCAGTTGATCATCTTTATAAGTAACGAAAAATTTAAAAGATTTATCCGTAATTTCTATATTAGGCGATATAAAGTTAAAAAATTGGTTCTCATATCAAAATTTGCTTCAATTTAACCCGGCCGCACGGCCTTTTATTTTTTTTTTAGAATAAAATTTTTTTCATCCGATCATGTAATACGGAAGATTTCATATGTAACATTTATATTAATATAACAATTCAATAAAAAGTCAGACAGATTTTATATATGAAGTTAATTACAAGTTTATTTCTCATGTTTTATTGTAGTTTTTTAAAAAATTTTTTTTTTTATTGTTGATAGTATTACGATATATCAGATATGCGTACAAATTTAATTTATCATGTGACTTAGTTTAGAGCAATTTAATTGGTTAACAAAAAAAAAAATAAAAATTTAAGATTCCCGCTCTGGTGACCCGGCCGGGATATGAGAACCAATTTTTTAACTTTATGTCGCCTTACGGAAAAATAACTAAAAATCTATACATTTCGAGGCTATAAATTCCGTGAGTATAATACATTTACGGAAATAACACACGGAATAAATTTATTATAGGGAATCCTATATTATTATTAAGATAAACACAAGGTTAATGATAATTAAAAACTCGATAAAATATATATTATTGTAAGTGATCATCTAAACTCGAAAGTATAATTCTAGTTAATAATAAAGTTTATTCTAAATTTAATTTTTTTCTTTAATTTGATTAATTGTCCGAGACTTGAAATAGATTCCAGGACTGTTGTAGCTCTGGAACTTTAACTAGTAAAATAGTTTCATAATATAATAGAGCATGTTTAACTATAGTTAATCTTTTCTACATTTTAAAATATTAGTACTATTGGGCGTTAGCGAAGGATGAAGATTTACTCAATATAATATGTAAGGTATAT